GGGGGGGGGGGGGGGGGGTTGGTCTGAAGGAGCAGGTTTCCCACCCTCCGGAATACTATGCTAAATAAGACGACCACGATGGTGGCAATGGGTACTCAGAATCGTGGAGATGGTGATGCTGATGATGACGAAGATGATGCTGATGATGGGTACGGTGGTGACGGGTCATCAGTAGTATCATGGATGTGAAGATAACGACTTCGACAAGGATGACGGTCATGATGAAAATGGTGACGATCGTGACGACGATGTACATGTAGTGACCTTCATCATGGCATACTACTAGTATCATCGTTTTGGCTTTCCAACGAAATAGGCTCAAAGGTAGTGAGACGACATAGAGGTCCCAAATGACTCTTGGCATGGGGTTCCGGGGTAGGTCTCTGTCTGCCAAGCCCACATCAAGACCTCAAAACCCGAAGCCCTCGACACCCAAAGGCCCTACAACATGTGCCGTCTGTACACCAAAGCTCTACACTCAAGAGTCCGAGCCTGTGCCACCGGTGCTGTAGGGCCTTGAAACTGAGACTTGGGGTTTCGGGGTGGGGGGGGGGGGGGGGGNNAGGGGGTCAGCACTTTCCTACTTCGGGTTTGATCCTTGTTTCGAGGCTGGGAGGTCTGCTTGAAGATCTTGGAGTTGCTACTTGCGAACCACAAGGTTTGGGTTGCAGCTTTGGGGTTCTAAAGAGATTGCGCTGATTGGGAGCGGCAAAGAAGTTTTTGCAAGGGCGAGTTCTGCTCTTCCTCGGCAAAACCCGTACAACACCCCATCAGATCCTCACTGAACCCTCAAGAATGCACAAAAAACCCTGGAAAAGAGCACGATCAGCCGCTTATCCATAAACCCACAAAATTACGAAGGATCACCGTGAACAAACAACGAAGCGTGACAAACAAAATTATTTTACTTCGAACATCCCCACCCTACAGTGCCCTATCAGTCTCACGGTAGTCTGTGGGGTTGGGCACTCCAGGGAGTCTCACGGTCTCAGAGGGCGAGGAGTGATAGCTGACTTAAAAATCTAACAACCCCACACCGAGGGTGGGGAACAAGCCTTCTAACTCAAACGCCAACTCTCCCTCCCCCAAGCCCCAAATCCTAATCACATTGCTTTAAAAAACCTCAACTTAAGACTCAGAAGAAGAAGAAGCGCAGGAAGCGAGTAGGCTGGGAGCCCTCTGCTCTTTCCGGGCCTGTCCGTACGACGCTTTGGGGCGATGTGGGCGGCCTCCTTGGCTTCATGCGCCCTCCGTCCTGGCAAGTTATGGCTTTAAGGGCTTTGGTTCTGCTGGATTTTTGGGCTTTGGCTTAGCACTTGGGGACGAGGTTTGAGGATATTGGACTTAGGGAGGGTTGTTTGGAATTTCTAGACGAACCCCAACTCCTGCCAGCAACGGCTCTGCACCCGATATCTTAACTCCTCCCCGAACTCGACAACAGCTCTCGCAACTTCGAGAGCCCCACAACAGACCCACAAGAACCCAAAAAGACATGCCCGGAAGGCGGAGGCCACGTCCTGCTTCCATGTCCTGCAGGAGTCAGGCGTTGTGGACTTCAGGTTCAAGGCTTAGCTTTCTGGAGGCCCGTAAGGCTCAAGAACCCTGACACTGGGAACCCTGAAGCATGATAACTGAGCTCTTAAGCCCCTTAGTTACGCGAAGCCGCACCCCAAACCCCCAAGCCTAAACCCGAAACTCAAAGCCGTTTACTGAAAGCAAATCCCTAGTAACCCTGAGCCTTACACAGCTTAAGCCATAGGCTCCACAAAACCCCCAGGGCCCTGCCAAGGCAATGAGCTTTCCGGGGAGCGAGGGGTTCGTCCTAAAGGCTTGTAGAGTTTATGGGCTTAGGGTTTAGGGTTTAGGGGGGTTGGGGGCTTCTGGATGGCAGTCCTGCGTGAGTCGCGTGTCTTCTGTCACCTCTGGCCCAGGTGCTAGATTTAAATCACTCCCCGACAGAGTACAGTCATGCGAAGCACACTCCTACGACACAGACCCATAAGAGGGATCCCGATTTTGAAGACGCTTCACGTCGGGTGTATGCTAGATTAGGGTTCCTTCCGAGGTGGGGTTTAGGGTTTTAGGAGTTTAGGATTCCTGTTTGTACAAGCCTGGAAAGACAACCAAGTCTCGCAATCCGTCAGTCCACGATCTTCGAATCTTAGGAAGTCTACACCTAAACCCTAAGGCCCCTAAACCCGCGACACACAAAGCCCGCTTCTTGCAGAGCTTGCAGGGTCTCCAAACCCGAAGCCCAAACTTGCGGCTGAGCAGCAACTGCTAAAGCTTCAGGTGACTGAGGCTCAACTGGTTAAGAGGTTTAGGTTCTACGGCTTCTAATGTTAATACTCTGAGGCTGGGTCACAGGGGGCTTTGGGCCAAAGCCAGCATCCACTGTCAACTGCGCAGCACCCTGAATTCTAACACCCCAAGTTTCCACAGCCCCTGGCTCCTTCTGAGCTTAAGCTTTATCTCTACATCAGAAATCTTAAACTTCCTAACTCCTACCACGCTGTTGCTAGCCATGAACTCGAAACCCAGTCCATCCGATGATCATGCCCACAGGTCCAAGAACGAGTGAAGCCGTAGCTCTTCACGGACACACCTCCTCAAACCTATCTCATACCAAGCCAAAGCACAACCAAAGCACGCCCCAAACCGTAAAGCCAAAATCCCCACAAAGAAGGTAAACTGGCCGGGTAGCGAAGGTGAGACCACGCCCCTTGGGCGGGGCCATTGGCAGCATCCTTGTCAAGATGATCCGGTTGGAGGGGACACCCCGTTGAAATCGGTCCGAAATCCCCGTCCGCACTTGCACAGGACCACCGCGGTCAGAGTTCCATCGCATGCCTCCCTGAGTGATAATCTGATAAACGGAAAAGCCCCAACAAGTCCCTGAATCCGAAACCCTTTCTGAGGCAAGCACTCCTACGACCTAAACCCGAAACTCCAAACCCCAATGACTCAAACTTTGAGCTCCGAACCTGAACAAACCTTCAGCCCCCAAAACCTCAAACCCTAAACTCCAAGGCCCTCTAAGCTGCCGGCCACAGAAGCGGATTGTCTCCGAGAACAGCGCAGATGTTGCCGACCTCGTGCCCAACCCGGACTCATGGACTCATGGAGGGTTCAGGGGTTACGGGTTTAGGCTTTGGAGTTCGGGGTCAAGGGGTTTAGGGTCAGGGGCTTAAGTTTTGAACCCTTATGCCCGAGCATAAAGAAACAAGCATGTAAGGAATGTAACTCTAGGCTCTATCCCGGACAACCTAAGCCTGGACTCAAACAAAAGCCCCGACATTCGAGTGCAGGGCCTGTCCCTCTCTCTCTCTCTCGCTCTCTCTCGCGCTCTGTCTCTCTACCTATGTATATGTATGTATATATATATATGTGAAATAAATAAAAATTATACATATATATATATATATGGTAACCCCCCCCCCCCTGGACCAACCTCCGCCATGAAACGGATC